GTGGACGCTGGACAGATGATGACGGCACGCACGAGCGACACAAAGACACAAACAAGCTCACAAGACCGAGGGCCCAACTTCAGAATCGTGCTTTTTTGGGTTAGGGACGAGCGCGAAGGACCGATTGCGGTGAAGGACCGCAGGTTAGGGACCGATCGCCGCCGCTCACGCCAGCGGACGATCGTCGTCAGTGATGTTAGCTACGCCACCGTCTACCTCGTGCGACATGCGCTCGCCCGCATCGAGCGAGCAACGTGTCCGACGAGCGGCTTGCTGTGCGGACGGCTTCTTGTGGCTCTCGTCGAGAGCGTTTTGCGGCCCGGCGGGTGGGAGAGCATGTGTCGTCTGATGTGTCACTGTGTACGTCATATCAGTCTTGATAACAAGTACGGTCGATCCGTCAAAGCGATACACTCGTCACGATTTGGACGGCTTGCACAGAGCTCTGTGCCGGCACGCATCAGGAAGACCGCCGTACGGCAAGAAGAGCTCGATGGGGAGCGAGAACCGTCAGAGGTGCTCACGGAGGTTTCGGAAGTCCGCCATGATGCGGTCAGTTCCCACCAGGTTTGACTGCGTAGGTCGCGGAACTCGTTGAGTACTCGCAGCCTTTCTGCGCCTCCGTCTGGGCATATCGGCTGCTCGGCAAGAGCAGTCTTTCCGGAAGATATCGACGATTTTCGAGAGCCACCCGCTTGGGAGCGGTTGAGCGCGTCACGGAGGACTTCAGGTTACCCTTGAAGCTCCTCTGACGGTTCTCGCTCTCCATCGAGCTCTTCTTGCCGTACGGCTCTTCCTGTTGCCGGCACAGAGCTCCGTGCCAGCCGTCCAACGTGATAGGAACGAGTGTATCGCTTCGACGGATCGACCGTGCTTATTATCAAGACCGATGTGACGTACACAGTGACACATCAGACGACACATATTCTCCCACCCGCCGGGTCGCAAAACGCTCTCGACGAGAGCCACAAGAAGCCGTCCGCACAGCAAGCCGCTCGTCGGACAGGCGTGCTCGCTTGATGTCGGCGAGCGCATTGCGCACGCTTTGAACGGTGGCGAAGCCAAAAACACCGATGGTGGCCGTCCGCTGGCGTATGCGGCGGCGATCGGTCCCTAACCTGTCGCCCGCGTCCCTAACCCAAAAGTGGTCCTTCGCGCTTTGGTCCCTCACCAAAAAAGCACGATTCTGAAGTTGGGCCCTCAGCCTCCCCCGCGTCTGCGCCAGTGCCAGGTGCAAGCGGCAATGCGTAGTCCCCACAACCGCTGTCGTGGGATCGCTTAAAAGAAAGAAAGAAAACGGACAACCCGAGTGCCGCAGCGATTTCTCTTATTCCTCTTGCAGAACGCAAGGCATGGCTGCATCGGCGAGCGAGGCGTTCGACGCCATCGGGAAGGCGATGCAGGCCGACGCCACGCTCGCCTCAAAGGTCGGCGGAGTGCTCCAGTTCGAGCTTGGCTCTGTATCGTGGACGGTAGACTGCACCAGCGAGGGCAGCATCGCGGAGGGCAGGGCGTCTGCGCCGGACGCCACTATTACCATGAGCGAGCCGGACTTTCTCAAGCTCTACGCTGGCACGCTCAACGGCACCACGGCGTACATGAGCGGCAAGATGAAGGCGCCGCGCCACGCGCCTCCCGCCGCCACGCCCTCCCATCTCACCGACGCGCCGCGCCGCCGCAGATCAAGGGCAACATCGGGCTGGCCCAGAAGCTAGCCGGGCTCAC